TTTTTTTATTTGCAAATAATCATAATTTTAGTTTATTATAAAAAAAGATAATAAAATGAAATACATTTATTATGAAAAGTATAAAATGAAATATATTATATATGCTATATAAAATAATCTATCTAATTATTTTTTTGATTTTTTTTTTGATTTTTTCTTTTTTTCTTTTTCCTTTCCTTTTTGTTTTCTTTTTTTACTACTAGTTTCTACTTCATGATCATTATTATTATCTTTCCGTTTTCTTTTTTTACTACTTGTTCCTACTTCATGATCATTATTGTCATCACTATTATTATCATCATCATCTTGGTCAGTGGTATCTGGGTCATAGATCAGAACGATTCTATTTTTCCACTTTAATTTTCTAAGTGCTGCCATATTTAACATCCAAATTGAAGCGTTTTTTAGTATTTCAACTTCTGTTAGTATATGTTGTGGAGATCTGATTTTGGTTTTTGACACTTTCGGTGGTTTGCACATAATATCAATTGTTGAGTTGATTCTTTTGTGCAGTAACTTTTTTAACTATAAAAAATATTATTTAATATCATACCTGATAGGTGTAAAAACATTATTACCATTGATCTACTTATCAAATCAGATCACCACCATTTATCTTTAATAAAAATCGATATTGTTATTTTACGTAAGCGAGTAGCAGTGGTGGCAGTAGTGGCAGTGGTAACAGCAGTGGAGATGGTGACATCCGTAGTAGCACTAATTCTACTTCTACTATTACTACTACTATTATTATTATTATTATCATCATCATCATTATAATTATGTAATAATGATAATGTGTTATTATTATTATTATTATCATTATTGTTATTATCATTATTATTATCATTATTATCATCATTATCATTATTATCATCATTATCATTGTTATCACGATTATTATCATCATCGTAATTATCACGATTATTATCATCATCATCATCATCGTAATTATCACAATTATCATCATCGTAATCATTATTACGATTATCATCATTATTATAATTATTATAATAATCATCATCACTAATATCTATAATTTCAAATCCTCCTAATGGATCTTGTTTTGTAAATTTAATAAATTAAATTAATTATAAACGAAATAATATAAATATAACTTGTAAATAGTACCTTCATATTCTTCATCTGTCATTTTCCACTCTTCAGAGTGGAAACCGCTATCATTTAATATTTGTAATATATCCTTTTGTGGATACATGTTTAATTTCTCGTCACCCCCTTTTAACAGGTATTCTACTGCTTTTTTCCTCCTTTTTTTCTTCTATTAAAATAAAATTATATCAATACTGTACCCGATAGTTATATTATTATATTGTTATAAAATCTTACCACCACCATTTGCGTATTCTTCTTCATTCTCCTCAAATTTATTTTTTCGTTTCCCTTTACTTTAACCCTCCATTGTCGATGCATAGTTCGCCATCTTGATTGTAGTATTTCTTTGATTTCCATATCTGATATTGTATATTTTTCATTTATTATTTTACTCAATTTGGATAAAAGTTTTGAAATTATATCGTCACGTTACTCCAGTCACGTATATTCTGCTTTTATTGGATACTTGCTTTTATATTTTGACTTATATATTAAAAATAATTCTTTCTATAATTATATAAATTTGTATTAGTTATTCTGTGTCCGATATATGTATAATATAAAAAATCAAAAAAAAAAATTGATTTTACCCTAACTCACTTATAAGATTCAGAATCCAAATATTTTATTGTTTTCTTTTTTTTTTCTTCTTCAGATGATGACGATTCATCATCTGCTGATGACGAAAATTCATCAGCAGAAGAAGATAATAATGATGAGGAGAAGGAGGATGAAGAAGAAGATGAAGAGAATGAAGAAGAGGATGAAGAGGAAGAAGAGGAAAAAGAGGAAAAAGAGGAAGAAGAGGAAGATTCATTTCTTTTTTTAGATTTTTTTTTATTATTTTTGTTAACAATTTTTTTATTTTTATTATTTTTATTAAGTATTTTGGTAACTATTCAGCCCACTTGTTCGTATTCTATAAATATTATATATATTAGTTATATATTAGTTATAATTATATCATAAACCAATAATTAATTAATTAATTTACCTTTTTTTGAAATTTTATTTTTTGTTTTCTTTTTTAATACCTTGATGAGACAAAAAAAATTTGTTATTTTTTTTGATTTTGTCATTTTCTTAAAAAAAATATTTTATTTTTTCTAACTATTCTAATCTAATTAAATAAAATATTTTTTTTAAGAAAGAAAGAAAGAGAAAAAGTAGTTCTTTATATATTGTATTTTTCGGATTTTTTGATATCAAAAGGTATGATATCGGTATACGTGTTGCCCAAATCCCAAATCATTTGGGATTTGGGACGCCAAAATCCCAAATTACTAGTATTTGGGATTTGGGATTTGGGATTTCGGCAAAAAATACTAATCATAATTTGGGATTTGGGATTTGGGATTTCGGCATTTGGGATTTCGGCATTTGGATTTTGAATTTGGGTGGCAGGTATAGATATCGGGCATATTATATATAATATTATATGAAGTAATATTTTCATATTACTTATATTCTTAATTATGACGCGTTATTTTTGTATGTAGCTAAAATATATGTAATATATATTTAAAGACAAAGTATTTTAATTTTTAGAACTTACCTTTCCCCAAAATTAAAAGGAAAAATCAGTTACTACTCAAAAATAAAAATAAAAAATAAAAAATACACATATCGGGTTCTAGTATTATATATGAGAATCATATAATATAGTATTATCAACATGATATAGTATTATTAACATTATATGTATTTTTATTATTAACATTATATGTATTTTAAAGAAATGAATAGAAATGGGCCGCAAGGAGGTGTTATGCATATTAAAGAGAGAAAATTGTATTATTGATAATTAAAAAAAGGTATTTGTTTACTTATATGCAGATCAGAGGAGTAATGTGTAACATATTAAATTTAATGTTTTTTTTTTTTTTTTTTATTGTTCCAGCGAGGTCTTGCCTCAAATTTATTAATTAGAAAAAGAGAAAGTTTTTTACATTATATAAGGTTACATAATACAAAATACACAACTTATTCTAATATTTGTTAGAAAAGATGAGACTCGGATTAACTCATAAGAGACGGGCCCGCAACCTACCGCCTGACAAGTAAACTTGCCCTCAGCATGTTAAGACCTTGCTGAACCATCTATATTATATATTTCTGTCCATTTGACCCTTTCCTTAATAAATTTATAAAAAAATTGACTAACTATATTATTACATATATTTTTAATTATGTTTTTCTTGTTTTTTTCTATATCTGTGTTAGTATTACTAATGTTGATATTACTATTATTCTTGCTAATATTTACATCTGCAACTTGACTACTGTTTGACGGGATTAGAACTTTTCATTTGTGTTTATTTCGTATGCCATTTTCTAGCTCCCATTTTTTTATTTCATTACAACGTCTTACCCATATATTTGTTCTTATATATTGTTTAAATTTTTTCATCACGTTTCTAATTATTTTACTTGTTCCTTCTTTGTTACCAACTGTAGAGTATACTACTTCTATTAGGGAGTTTGGTAGTAAACCAAGCACTATATCAATAAACGAAAACACATCTCCGTCTTTTGTCATAGATTGTGTTTCAATCTTTAGTTCTTTTAGGTTATTTATTCTAGTTCTGATATTTTCATCAAGGTTTTGTGTTGATTCTTCAATAATATGCTCCCATAGTAAATCCGTAAGTTTGTTTTTACATATTTCCAAATTTACCAGGTTTTGAGTGCATTTAAAAACATGATATTGATCTTCTTTTTCTATGTTGCAACAAGGACATTTATCACTTTTGTATATATTTGGGAATCGTTTTTTTAGCCTTTCTAGTGTGAGTAATTCATTGTTCATTAGTTTTATATTAAAGGATCTTTGTCGTGTGTCATTTAAGTTTGTGGTTTGTTTATCAATATAAGATAATGTTGTAGTTTGCCAAGACGATTCCCAGCAAATTTCCTTACTTTTATTGTCGAATACTGTTGTTGTATTTCTATTCAGTAATTTCCAACTAACCGATTGCTTGGTTGCACTCAGTTTCTTGGTAAATGTTCTCAAGGATTCTTCTATAGGCTGTGAGTTCCAGCAACTAACTGCATTAATTGATGCCAATGTTTGTAGATCTGAACTACAGTTTGGTTTGTTACGGCCTTCTTTTACGAGTTTATCTGCCAAATCATTAAATTCTATTCCTGAATGTGCTTTTATTTTAATAAATTCTAATTTGATCTTTTGTATAAAAACGATTTCATTTATTGCTTTGAGCAATGTCCAATTTTTAATTTTTGTGCAGTTTTTCTTATCATTCTTCGTAATATTTGTATAAGCATCAATTGTTGCCTGGCTATCTGTGAAGATTTTAAGATTTGATTGTTTTGGTGTCGCGTAAACTGCAGTTAGTACAGCCATGATTTCAGCTCTAGTTGATGATATGAAGTCCTCAACTTTCCCGTTAAATGTAAGTTTTGTATTGTTACCATTAATTGCAATCCATCCACACCCCATTACTAGTTTTTGGTCTGTTCGTCGAAATTTGCTATTATTAGTGTTTTCTATTAGTGAACCATCTGTGTATATTTTGATTTCTTTGTTACTGGATAGTAGAGTTCAGATCTGGTCTAATTTATCTTGGATTTCGTTGTCTGACCAAAAATTTGAATATTTATCATATATTTTTCCATGATTATTGGTAATATTATCGATGTTTATGTTTGGTAACAAGTATGATGTGTTTGGTCGAGCTGTTTGTTGTTTAGTTAATATATTATTTAACCCGTATTCGATTGCTCCCATTTCCGATTGTAAACGTAGTTTATTTTTCCTTTTGGGTGTTACCCTACTGGAAACCTTGCTTTTAATTACATTAATGTTAACTGTTTGTGGAACTCCAACTTTGATTAAGCATACGCTCTTGTTTCTAAGATCATTTGTTAGGTTAGTATTTCCTTGTGCGTAGCCTTGGCATTTTTTAATTGGTGAGGTTTCTTCCCCATTGGTATTTCTTTCTCTGATATAATGTGTCAAGATTAATTCATGGTTATTTATTACTTTGCGTCTTTTTCCAATGATCACTCTTTGATTATTGGGATTTTGAGTTGCCGTCCATTTTATTTCGTTACTTTGTTTGTCAATGTTTTGTTCACAAGTGTTATATCTGTCTCTCAATCTCTTTTTGGTTTCTTCGTCAGAGATTTGTCTTTCTGATAGATTTGATAATAGTTTCTTTTCGATTAGTTTGAACCACCCTGGTTTAGGACCTCGTCTTTCATTTCCAGTTATGCCTTGCCAGTACAATAGACGGTTACCATTGTATGATGTTAATTGTTCTAAAAATATTATTTGTCGGGTTCTAAGGCTTTTCCTATATTGAAAATAACAATCATAATCATGAAGTATTTCTTCAATAGTTACGTTTCCCCCTTTTATTAACATACTTCCTACTATTTCTTTAGACATTTTAAATGTGATATTATTTACTTTGCAAATTTTCAGAATATCATTAATCAAGGACTGATTTCTCGGTGTATGAAAAATTTCCGTCGATTCTAAGATTAGTTCTTTCGACCAGAAAATATTTTGTAGGTGTTGTAGTCGTATTCGTGTAGAAAATCCCATAGCTCCTTTATCATTTAAACGGTTGAGGAGATTGTTACTATGCATTTGAAATTGTCTTTCCCATAAACTACAAACATTATATGCTTCTTTGGCATATATTAATGCATTGGGTATTGTACAAGATAGTAGAGCTTTGTTTTTAATAACTGATATGAAGCGCGTTGTTATTTTAAGACATTCGTTCTCTGTTAAGGTCATATCGTTTAAGCTATATTCTAGTATGGGTATTACTACCATATTAAAGATATATATTGCTTGTTTGTCAGTTATAGGTTTACCTCTTAGTATATTTGCTAGGTAATCTGTTAATTTTTTAAGTCGTTCTCTTTAAAATTTTTTTTGAACCACTTTCAGTAACATAAATACCCAAAGATCTAACAGGAAAGTCTTTTGCCACTGGTTTTAAAATTTCTGTTCCCATTTTCACCCCTTTTTCTCTGTTGGCTACTGTCGTATTGATTGCTATTAGATGCGATTTATTCTTGTTTATTGTTATGTCATTTATAATAAAGAATTCATCTGCTATTTCAAGAATTTGTTCCATTTGTTCTCTAGATGATGCGAACCAGTTTGTATCATCTACGTATGCTGCCACTGACATTTTTAA